CACTACAAGGTGTTCCCAGACGCTCCACGAGGCTCCCAGACGCCCACAAACACTCTCAAGCGATCTCAGACGCTCTCAGACGTTCTCAGAAGCTCCCAATGCCTCCCGGACGCTCCCAAACGCCACCTGACGTCTCAGACGCTCCTAGACGCCCCCAGACGGTCCCACACACCATCAGAAGCCCTGTAACGATTTCTGAAATTCCCCAAGGGGTTCCGGTTTCTGGGAGGGCTGGGACTCGACCATTGCCTATTGAATTCCTATTCTAAAACACATAAACACAAAAGAAAGCATCAAGGAATTATGTTAGAGGCTAGGCCTCGATAGTTTCCTACTGAACTCCCGGTCAAAAACTTGTAATTTATGCAAGAATGCTGCTGGAGGTGAGACTCGGCAATTTCCGATTGAATTTGTATTCAAAACCAAATTAAACATCAAGGAATTATGCTGGGGGCTGGGGCCCTACTATTTCCATTGGAGTTCCCTTTCAAAAACCTGCACAAAATGAAGGAATTCTGCTGGAGGCTGGGACTCGGCCATTTCCTATTGAATACATATTCAAAAACCAACGAATGATTAAATAATTCTGCTGGTGGCTGGGACTCGCTCGACCATGTCCCAAGGAATCCTTATTCCAAAAACAATAGACTAATAAGGAATTCTGCTGGAGGCTGGGACTCGACAGTTTCCTATCCAATTCCCACTCACAAGCCAACAAATGATTGAGGAACTCTGCTGGCGGGTGGGACTCGGCAATTTCCTGTTGAATCCCCATTTATCTCTATATAGATATAATCTGCTGGAGGCTTGGACTCGACTATTCCCGATTCAATTCCGATCAAAAACCAATCAACTATTAAGAAAGTCTGCTGGAGGCTGGGACTCGACAGTTTCCGATTGAATTCCAATTCAAAAGCAAATAAAGTACTAACGAATTCTGCTGGAGGCCGGGGCTCGGTCATGTCCTACTGAATTCCTAGGGACCCTGCCGGTGACGTACGGGCGTCGGCCAAATTTTTGGCAGCCTTCATGAACAATGGGAGAAGTTACCCCGAGAACACATTGCATTTCTAGTGGAACCATGCTCACATGCTGCGGCACGAAGGTGACGTGTGAAACTGTTGTTTTCTGTGTTGCTTCATAAGGCCCGAATATGCTTGCTTACTGATGAAGAGTACACGAAGGTGACGCGTGGCTCAGGCGACACGAAGGTGACGTATGAAACTGACGTGTTCCTTCATTCTCCAATCGGGATCCGATACTGTCGCTTTACATTTAGAATACACGAAGGTGACGTGTGGTCAAACACGGAGACCATGTGTGACCCTAGTACCAGTACAACTACTAATGCGAATTAAAAGCAGAATGCTGGTAGCCGTAGTAGGGCTAGTAGTAGTAGTACTACTACTACTACTACTACTACTACTGCTGCTGCTACTACTACTACTACTACTACTACGAGTAGTAATAGTAGTAGTAGTAGTAGTAGTCGTCGTCGTCGTCGTCGTCGTCGTCGTCGTAGCAGTAGTAGTAGTAGTGGTAGCAGTAGTAGAGGTAGTAGTAGTAGTAGTAGTAGTAGTACTAGTACTAGTACTAGTACTAGTATAGTACTAGTACTAGTACTGTACTAGTACTAGTATAGTAGTAGAGTAGTAGTAGTAGAGTAGTAGTAGTGGTAGTAGTCGTTGTAGTAGTAGTAGTAGTGGCAGTAGTAGTGGTAGTAGTAGTCGTAGTCGAGTCGTAGTAGTAGTAGTAGTAGTAGTGTAGTAGTAGTAGTGTGGTGGTGGTGGTGGTGGTGGTGGTGGTGACACGGTCGTAGTGCGGTAGTAGTAGTAGCAGTAGTAGCAGTAGTAGTAGAAATAGTAGTAGTAGTAGTAGTAGCAGTAGTAGTAGTAGAAGTAGTAGTAGTAGTAGTAGTAGTAGTAGTGGTAGTAAGAGTAGTAGTAGTAGTAGTAGTAGCAGCAGTAGCAGTAGTAGTAGTAGTAGTAGTAGTAGTAGTAGTAGTAGTAGTAGCAGTAGCAGTAGTAGTCGTAGTCGTAGTTGTAGTAGTAGTAGTAGTAGTAGTAGTAGTAGTAGTAGTAGTAGTAGTAGTAATCGTAGTAGCCGAAGTAGTCCTAGTAACCATACAAATAGTAAGAGTAGAAGTAGTAGTGGCAGTACTAATACGAATACTAATACCAAAAAAAATGCGTCCAGTAACAACCGTATGCTGAGCCTGAGTCGCAGTACCAGTAATAAAACATCGCCTGACGAATGACCCAACCATATGCAGCTGTGCGTACCGCAGACTATAATGTTCGGCGAAGCTCCCTATGGGGCCGCGATCCTCGTGAGGGGTGCGCCGAACTGGGGCGGGGCCGCCATGCGAACTTTCCGCCTGGGCTTTCGGTGGAGCTCCCTTATGGGGCCACGATCCTCGTGAGGGGTGCGCCGAACTGGGGCGAGGCCGCCATGCGAACTTTCCAACTGGGCCTTCGGTGGAGCTCCCTATGGGGCCAGGATCCTCGTGAGGGGTGCGCCGAACTGGGGCGGGGCCACCATGCGAACTTTCCCACTGTGGCCTTCGGTGGAGCTCCCTATGAAGCCAAGATCTACGTAAGGGGTGCGCCGAACTCGGGCGGGGCCGCCATGCGAACTTTTCTACTGGAGCCTTCGGTGGAGCTCCCTATGGGGCCACGATCCTCCCTATGGGACAACGAAACGTGCGAGGGGTGTGCCGAAATGAGGCGGGCCGCCATGTGAACTTCTCCACTGGGGCTTTAGATGGAGCTCCCTATAGGGGCCACGAAACGTGTGAGGGGTGTGCCGAAATGGGGCTGGGCCGCCATGCGAACTTTCCAATTGGGGCCTTAGGTGGACCTCCCTATGGGGCCACGAAGCTTGTGAGGGGCGTGCCGAAATGGGACGGGGCCGCCATGCGAACTTTCCCATTGGGGCCTTAGGTGGAGCTCCCTGTGGGGGCACAGAACGTGTGAGGGGTGTGCCGAAATGGGTGCGATGCGGGGGAGGAGGAGGAGGAGAAAGAGGAGGAGGAAGCGGAGGAGGAGGAGGAGAGGTGCGACGCGGGCCGCTGTCTCTTCAAAACGAGGACCCAACACCACAGGATGGTTGGTAATATATACGATTAGGGGAAGTAATAGTAGTAGTAGAAGAAGCAGCAGCAGCAGCAGCAGTAGTAGTAGTGATAGTAGTAGTAGTAGTAGTAGTAGTAGTAGTAGTAGTAGTAGCAGTAGTAGTAGTAGTAGTAGTAGTAGTAGTAGTAGTCGTCGTAGTCGTAGTAGTAGTAGTAGTAGTAGTAGCAGTAGTTATTAGTAGTAGTAGTTAGTAGATAGTAGTAGTAGTAGTTGTAGTAGTGGTAGTAGTAGTAGTAGTCGAGTAGTAGTAGTAGTAGTAGTAGCGTAGTAGTAGTAGTAGTAGTAGCAGTTAGTAGTAGTACTAGTACTAGTACTAGTACTAGTAGTACTAGTAGTACTAGTAGTACTAGTAGTACTAGTAGTACTAGTAGTACTAGTACTACTAGTAGTAGTAGCAGAAGAAGAAGCAATAGTAGTAGTCATAATAGCAGCTCATAATAGCAGCGGTAGTAGTCGCAGTCGAAGCAGTACGAGTGCCAATACTGCTCGTAGCAATACACGTAGCCATACCAAAAATCAAATAGATCGCAGTAGTAGCGATGGTACTCGTAGTAGTAATAGTAGAAGTACAATGTGTAGTAGTAGTAGTAGTAGTAGTAGTAGTAGTAATCGTACTAATAATAATAATAATCAAGCTAGTAGGAGCAGTCGTAAAAGTAGTACTAGTAGTAAATGTAGACGCAGTAGTAGTAGTAGTAGTAGTAGTAGTAGTAGCAGTAGTAGTAGTAGTAGTAGTAGGAGTAGGAGTAGGAGTAGGAGTAATAGTAGTGGTAGTAGTACTACTACCATTAGTTCAACAAGCAGAAACACGTTCAATACCAGTAACGATAGCAATAGCAGCACTACTACTACACATGCGTAGAGCTGGTTCAAATAGTAATAGAGGTTGTATTCGTCGTCGTCATAGTAGTAGTAACAATAATAATCGTAGTCTCCGTAGTAATCGCTGTCGCAGTCGCAGTAGTAGCAGTAGTAGTAGCAGTACTAGTAATAGTAATAGTAGTAAGAACAACAATAGTAGTAGCAATCGCAGTCGCAGTTGCAGTCGTAGTGGTAGTAGTCGTAGTAGTAGTTAGTAGTAGTAGTAGTAGTAGTAGTAGTAGTAGTAGTAGTAGTAGTAGTAGTAGTAGTAGTTGTTGTAATAGGAGTAGGAGTAGTAGTAGTAATAGTAGTAGTAGTTGTTGTTGTAATAGTAGTAGGAGTAGTAGTAGTAATAGTAGTAGTAGTAGTAGTCGTAATAGTAGTAGTCGTAGTAATAGTAATGGTAAACGTAATAGTAGCAGTAATACTAGTTGTATTAATAGCAGGAGTAGTAACAGTATAAATAGGAGTAGGAGTAGTTGGAGTAGTCGGAGTAGTCGGAGTAGTAGTAATAGTAGTAGTAGTAGCAGTAGGAGTAGTAGTACTAGTAGTACTAGTAGTAATAATAAGAAGAAGAAGAATAGGAGTGGTAGTGTTAGCGGTCATAAACAACATCCCTCCCACCCTCCAGAGTGCCGAAGTGAAGCTTCAGGGCGCGGGAAGTGTCACCCCTCTGCCATGCGGGAGGGGGGGTTCTTCACAATTTCATGGGATTCCGTTACTGACGGCCCCGCGGCTCGGCAAGGGCCCACAAGACTCACAAAAGGCCGCAGTGACGCGAGGTAAAACAGGGCCAGGATCGGAATAAATCGCTCCAGAGCGTTCCGGAGCGCTCTCAGAGCGTTCCGGAACGCTCTGGAGCGGCCGCGGCGCCCAATACATCCTCCAAACCCGCCGATTCTCCAGGATTTCGAGTTACCCCGATCCGATTTTGTCCCGATCTTCGCGTCGTTTTAGAGGGGGTCTGGGCCGAAGGACCGGTGCCGGCGTGCAATTGCCGTCGTCCGATCGTTCGCCGGGCCGCAGAACGCGGGGACCCTGGGCGCGACGGCCGAGGGCGGCGGACCAGCAGCCTCGGCAGGGACGGCCGCCCCGGCCCGTGGCCCCAGCGCGACGGCCCCCGGCGCATCCAGGCGCGCCTCCCACGGAAGCACCCCGGTCTCTCGGATGCTCCGGTGGCAACTCATTGGGAGCCCGTCCTCCTCCTCCTCCTCCTCCTCCTCCTCCTCCTCCTCCTCCTCCTCCTCCTCCTCCTCCTCCTCCTCCTCCTCCTCCTCCTCCTCCTCCTCCCGAGAGGGGCTCGAGGCCGCAGACGTCCCCCGTCCCAGAGATCCGACGCTCCCCCAAAAGATCGGAGCGGGCGGTTTCGTTGGCTGTTTTTCGGCCTCCGGGGGCCCTCGCCGGGCCTCGGGGGGGTCCAAAAACGACGCGGGGCGAAAACCCGACCCTGAAGAATGGTACGGACCTCCGGGGCCCACGCATCGAAAAAACCGGAGCGACTGGGGTTCCGTACTGTTGGCTCTTGCGGATCGGCTCTCGTCGAGCACCAGACGCTCAGCGATGCGACTGCACTCGGAAGACGGGACAACGAAGATACACAGGGCTTTCATTCGGGGATGGACAGACCCCCCTTTAGTAAAACGTGGTTTAGTGAAAACGACCTGAGGCCCAAACCTGGCGGGCGCAAGCCTGGAAAACAACGGCCACGGCGCCATCTCGAGAACCGACAACGGACAATTCACGAATCGACGTGTCACTGTTGGGGGTTCTGTCCACCCCCGATTCATGATATGCCACCGAAGGATGCCCATCAGGAACCCGAGCGTGTCGTCCAGGTCCGGGAGCGCGACCACGAACAGCTCCACGGGGACGCTGCCGCCGCCGCGGCTCTGCAGCGACACCTGGATGGAGGCCGGAGCCCCCGCGGCGCGCGCGTGCGCGTCGCCGCCCTCCGACTGGAGAGCCGACGTCGCCGCGAGGAATTCCTGGAAACGCTGCTGGTCGGAAGCCGTCACGTGTCGGAGGAAGCAGTCGCCTCGAAATGCGTCCTGCTAGGGCGACGAGATCTATACATATCCACTGCTCCCTGGCCAGGCCTATCCTGAACCCGCCAGCGGTGTATACGCCACGCGCTCCTGGCTTGGCCAGGAGGGCGGATACACAGCTGCTGGTTTCAGGATGGGCCTGGCCAGGGAGCAGTGGATGTGTATAGATCTCGTCGCCCAACCTGCGTGTCCACGTCCCCTGCCCCGGAGCCCAGGAAGTGCACCAGCGGGCGGGAGTGGGTGAAGATCTGCATCTCTGGACCGATGTGCAATTGGGCATCGCAGAACGCAGACAGCATCCTTTGCACTGCCTGTTGAGCCGTGCCCGACTGTCTGGACAACACCGACGCTCTGATCCGGCCCCGATCACCGGCCTCTACAAGCAGCAAGATGGAACAAACGAAGACGCAAGTGTGTATCTCCTGCATGACGTGCCCGAGACTCTCTGCCACGGGCAGTCCACCCTGCGCTTGGCGTTTCCAGGTCACGAAACAGTAGATTGCCGAGAAAAGCACGTTATGTTTCAGGGATACGCTGCAATCCAGCAGCACAATTCCAGCCATAACTCTTCCGGGGATACCGCTGGGGCCCTCCACCAGCAACATCTGCACCACAAACACAGACATTGACGCCTTGTACACACTCGCAATGACACGGGGCGAGAAGTGTGAACAATAGCGCGCAAGGAACTCTCGAATTAAGACTAACCATAACTTACCCATACATTCGTAGAGGGGTCTCCCTGTGCTCATCTGGACAATAGCATGACATATGTTGACGACTACCAGCGGAGGGAGTATCACGTGGACAGCGGTATGAAAGCGGGCACCCCGTACTTCGTCCAAATCTCGCTGAGCTCGCTTATCCAACGGAGTTAAAAGATCAGGCGGTAATACAAGCTCCCGAATTGCTTTCGCAAATGAACTCATTGATACCAGGATGTTAGACTTGACTGCCCACCAAAACGCTGCTGCGACACACATGGAGACCGTAACAACCCTCCGAATAATGTTGGGCGCCCGTACCTCACCATGTCCGACCTCCAGAGGATAATCGACCTGAAACCACGACGAATTCGACATCACGGCTGAGCGCGCAACGTGAATCAGGTTGGACGATGTCGGGTGATCGAAATTGCGTCGCTTGGGCAAGAAGGAACAAGACAAGGATGAGGGCACCAACGAGGAGTAAGAGGGGGGAGGAGGAGCACAGCGTGCTTAGGGCTGGAGGCGGAGAGGAGTGATAATAGCATGGGGATCCAGTATGGGGACGGGGAGGGGGCAGAAAAGAGGACACAACACATAGAACAACCACATGGCATTCCGACGGAACTTTGAAAAACCCGACTCCGCTGTATACACGCGCCTCAACTATGCTCCACCGCCCAAGCTCCTTGCTTAGGCCTCGCCTGGCCCCTGATCCGCCGTTTGGCTGACCCACCACGCATGCACGGGACAATGATAACCGTACAAAGGGGGAACGGAACCATCCGAAAAGAGTCCCGACATAGGCCTGCCCGATCCTTCTGCACGGGGATCTCTGTGGAAAGGAAAAAGGAGGGAGGAGGAAGGGAAGATGAACTTCGTTCTGTAGAGACGGCTGGACAGGAGGGGGGGAAAAGAGGGATAAGACTCGGCGAAGCAGTCCTGAGGAAACTCTTTGACGCCGAGCTCCATTCCAGCAGGCGTCGAAAGCAGATGCGCGGGGCTCTTCCATTCGACGATCGCTCACATCCTTCGAGCGCGGGAGAACTCACTGCAAGTTCGAGCGAACGGCGACGGCAGCAGCGAGCGGCGACTGCGGCGACCGCGGCGATGGCGGCGTCGAATGGCAGCTGCAGACGGTGACGGTGGCGGTGAGGAGGGAAATGAGAAGCTAGGATCAGGAGGCGGCGGCGAGAGGGTGGGAGGAGGAGAAGGACAAGGAGAGGGATGCGGACGAGGAGGAACGGGGGCGAGGGACGAAAAGGCGGAGAAGCCACTCGGGAGCGTGCGGCCCCGCAGCACCGTTCCTGACAGGCCGCGGGTCCACACGCAGTCCGATCTGGCCGCTGCCTCCTCCCCCTCCTCCCCCTCCTCCTCCTCCTCCTCCTCCTCCTCCTCCTCCTCCTCCTCCTCCTCCTCCTCCTCCTCCTCCTCCTCCTCCTCCGCCGCGCTCTTGGAAGATCGAACCTCCGACCCGCCGCGCGCAGCCCTCTGCCAGCGTGCCGCAGCCCCCCACGGCGGCGCGCAGGCAGGGCGAGAGGGGGCGGCCTCCTGAGAAGGAACGGGGGCTTCTCAGCAGGCATACGGGGCAGTGCTTTTGTTTATACATGTGATTTATACCATTTTGAATGCACGATTACTCTATGAATACTCCAGATTTCGTAGTTGAGGGAGGGGGGTCTCATTCCGGGGGGGGGGTCTCTTCCAGGCTATCGTGGAGGGCCCGGGGGGTCTGGGGACGATGTTCTGGAGGGTTCTCCCACGGGGGAGGTCTGAAATGGCTTGTCCTGGAGGGTCCGGACCCCCTGAAATCTGGAGTACATTTATGCATGAACTCATCGTTGTTTTAATACAAATCCCTGCAACGCACCGATGTTGTGCACGGCGTCTGTCTGTCTTCCCCTCTCATTCCACATGTTCCTGGGCATCGACGCTTCTGTGTGCCTGTGTCTGTGTGTCCCTCATGAACGGCGAGGCCCTGCCTGGAGAACACCCCACTCGTGACTCCGCCCCCCCTGCGTGGCAGCGTCCCGGGGGTTTGCGCCGGATGGACCCCGAGAAAGTCGGTCAAGGGTTAGGTCGGGCATGTCCTCCTGCAGGCGGATTTTGCAGGAGAAACAAGAGAAAATGCTATACAGATACAAAATAGCCACACAACGTGTATGTATATATATATATATATATAATCGCCCCAGACATTTTGAAACAACTATTTTTGAATACTCCTCCTGTAGAAGGGACACGCCCGACTTAAATCAAGGGCAAGGGAGGGGACCGAGGGCAGATGCGTTCAGAATTGGTCCCCGCCCTCCTCCCGCGCCGCGTCCAGCCGCGGCGACGAAGGGGGCCTTTTCTCCACCCTGTTCGGGAGGAGGAGGGGGAGGAGGAGGAGGAGGAGGAGGAGGAGGAGGAGGAGGAGGAGGAGGAGGAGGAGGAGGAGGAGGAGGAGGAGGAGGAGGAGGGGGAGGAGGAGGAGGAGGAGGAGGAGGAGGGAGGGAGGGGGTGGGAGGAGGAGGAGGAGGAGGAGGAGGAGGAGGAAGAGTCCTGGGCCACCTCGGCCCCCCAGCCGGCTCCCGTCCCCCAGTGTGGTAGGCTCGTGCGGCGTCGGCGCGCAGCGGTCTTTTACACCACGCCGATCGTTCAACCCTGCACGGATCGCGGCCCCGATCGTTCAAGGTTGAATTCAATCGGGTTCGGTGGCGTCAGCATGCTCATCGGCGCTGCCGCGTCGCAGGATTGAGACTCGAACGCCTCCACGGGCGTCGCCGGAGCGCCAACGCCGCAAGGAACCTACCGTACCAGCGCACCCGCCCCCCCAGCTGAAGACGAAGCCTGGGCGAGGCTAAGTTCGGTGAAGAGAAACCGAGAATGTCTGAGATCCGGCGGCTCTGGAAGATGTCTCGGGCGCCGCGGTTTTCTCAGAGAGCCTCGGAAAACTCCGAGAGCGTTCTGGAACGCTCCAGAACGGACTTACCCTCGTCCTAGCCCCGTCCGGCCAACTGCCTCCCCCTGTCACGCGCCCCTTCCCGTGGACCAGGAAACCAACGACACCGCCCAACCTGCGACCCCGCCACGGGGCTTAGCGTATACCGGGACATCTGGCGTGGGCTTTTGCGCGGTATACGCGAATTACGGCCCCCGATGGGCCGTAGCGCAAAGTGAAGGGCCGCACAGTAGGAGCTCGACCACAAGAAACTTCCCACAAGAAGCTCAACCTGAGACCCAAGGGCGCTCGGTGTTTTTTGGTGTGGGGACGTCACGCCTTCCGCGGCAAAGCCATCGAAACACAAGAAACCCAGGGCACCCTGGAGGCAAAAGCAAGGTGTCTCTTGGCCTGGGCTTCCACTGTATAGGTGGGGTGGCAAAGCGTGTTTTCTGGGTCGACCCCGCGACGTCGAAATCCAAGAAGGCCATCGCAACCCAAGAAACCAAGGGCACCCTGGAGGCGAGCAGGGTGTCTCTTGGCCTGGGCTCCCACTGTATAGGTGGGATGGCATCGTTTGCTTCTCGGTCGACCCCGCGACGTCTGCTCCGAGTCCGCGCGCGCGCGAAGGCGAGCTCTTTCCTGGGCGCCTTGGCGCGCCGCGGCGCCGCTGCCGCTGCAGCGCCAGCGGGGAGGGAAGAGGAGGAGGAGGAGGACGAGGAGGAGGAGGAGGAGGAGGAGGCGGAGAAGGCGGAGGAGGAGGAGGAGGAGGAGGCGGAGGAGGAGGAGGAGAAGGAGGACGAGGAGGAGGAAGGGGAAAGGAGGAGGAGGAGGAGGAGGAGGAGGAGGAGGAGAAGGAGGAGGAGAAGGAGGAGGAGAAGGAGGAGGCGGAAGAGGAGGGGAGGAGGAGGAGGAGGAGGAGGAGGAGGAGGAGGAGGAGGAGGAGGAGGAGAAGGAGGAGGAGGAGGAGGAGGAGGAGGAGGAGGGGGAGGAGGAGGAGGAGGAGGACGACGAGGAGGAGGAGGAAGAGAGGAAGGAGGGCGCTGAAGGTGCTGATGATACCGTCCGTGTCACCGGACGCTGGCGCGCTGGCCAAAGCGCCGCGGACCAACGCCGCAGCGCGGTTGTCGAGCCAATGCCCGACGTCGAGCGGGGTCCAGCAAGGCGACGAGGAAGCCAGACCCCGAGCAAACCACCCACGCCGCCAACGAGACGCGGGCCAGAATCCCGCGAGGCGACGAGGAAACGCCAACCGCACATGCCTGCCCCTGCCGCTCACGCCCTGGAATTCCTCAACAGGGAAACCCAGGCGCTCAGCGGCCTGCCGCAGCACCGCCGTCTTGACCTCCGAGGTCTTGTCACTGTCAAGGAGATATATCAGCTGCGCGCCCATATCTTTAAACATCTCCCGGGTGAGGGTCGAGGGTATCTCGGCCGCCGCCTGGGGCTTCTGCTTGGCCCTCGCCTTGCGGTGAGGTCCATCTCCAGCCCCTGAGGTACCCTGAAGGCCCTTCTTGTCATTCATGTCCTTCTTGTCCTGCGTATCCTTCTTGAAAACGCCATGCTTGTTGCTGATCTCCGCCTCCCAAGCATTGAAGGCCAGGTCCTGCGAGCGGAGCCGTTTCTCCAGCATGCGAAAGTAAGCGACGCCATCGAACTCGAGGTCCGACACAGCATCGCTCCCACACAGCAGTCCCCTTTATGAAATGCTGCTCGCCGCAGGCGTGGCCTGTCGCGGGAGAAGACGCGTCCAGCGGTTCCTTCGACTCAGAACGCTGGGCGAACGACTCCGCCCCGTCGTTGCAGCGCGTGCAGTGCCCAACTCCTTCCAGTTGCCCTGGTAGTGCGTCGGGTCGGCGAGCATCCGGTCCAAGTCCGACTGCTGATCCTTCACCGTCTCCATCACTTTCTCCTCCATCTCCTTCCGCGCCTTCAGCAGCATCCTCTTGTTCTCTCTCCGCGAGCGACAGTCTCTCCCCGCGGAGCATCCTGTTGCGCTCCCAGAGCGTGGTCCGGAGCTCCTTCATGAAGGGGCCCTGGGACACACAAATAAACACACACAAATACAAAAAAAATGCCCCATGTTATCTTACATTTTCTGGGTTTCTGTCTTCCCGCCCAATTCCCATATTTTCCCACATTTTCTGTGGGACCGACGATTCATTGTGTCTGTGTGTTTTTTCCCTCCTGACTTCAGGCTCGCTGCTCCACTTCTATCTTCAGGGCCTCCTCCTCCTGCCGCTGGTCTGGTAGATTCAAGACCCCCGCCGGGGCCGGCGCGCTGCACGCCTGGCACTCCGCCCCGAAGCCAAAAAGTTGGCGCGGCGGCAGCTTGGGCGCAGGCGCCGCCGCTTGCGGACGTAGGTCTGGCCCTTCTCCTTCGGCTTCTCCACCCTGGAAGCTCCCGAGCTCCTCCTGCGCGAGGTGCATATCCTTCTCCTCCTTCTCCTCGCAGGCCTGCTCCCCCTTGCCATCCTGAAGGCCTGCCGCACGGCAGGCGGCTGCCTGACTCTACCGAGCTGCCAAAGCCGGCGGCGTCCTAGTTGACCTCGGCGATGTCCGGAGCCGCGTCGCCTGGCTCGCCAGGACGGCAGCCTTGAACTTGTCCATCTGCTCGCGCACTGCCGAGGGCGGCAGGGACCGATCCTGCATGCCCGAGCCCTTCATCCGAAGCGGCCCATAGCCCAAGTCCACCCTCGACAGGCCCATGAACTTGTTGCGATTGAGCAGCCCGCAGCTCAGGTCCATGACCGCGTGAGGAGGACCGAGCGTCACGCGGGAGCCAGACCCCAGACTCGTAAATGTAGCCATTGCCGACGGCCCAGCCGAGCTGGAATCCGCCATTGAACAGCTCAACGGTCACCTCCACCCCTGGCCTCGCACGCTGGATCTTCAGGTCCAGGTCCACCAGGAGCGCGTTGACCTCATCGCCGAAGAGGTTCTGGGGCAGGAGGAATCTCATGCCATGGCGGCTCAGGCGCGTTGCACCCCTTTCACGCGCGCGCGCCCTACCTCGAAACTCTCGAGGGAAAGGGGCTGGGAGGAGGAGGAGGAGGAGGAGGAGGAGGAGGAGGAGGAGGAGGAGGAGGAGGAGGAAGAGGGAGGAGGAGGAGGAGGAGGAGGAGGAGGAGGAGGAGGGAGGAGGGGAGGAGGAGCAGAGCAGGAGGGAAGAGGAGGAGGAGGAGGAGGAGGAGGAGAGGAGGAGGGAGGAGGAGGAGGAGGAGGAGGAGGAGGAGGAGGAAGAGGAGGAGGGGGGGGAGGGGGGAGGAGGAGGGGAGGAGGAGGAAGAGGAGGAGGGGGGGGGGGGGAGGGGAGGAGGAGGAGGAGGAGGAGGAGGAGGAGGAGGAGGAGGAGGAGGAGGAGAAGGAGGAGGAGGAGGAGGAGGAGGAGGAGGAGGAGGAGGAGGAGGAGCCCCGCGTGCTCCTCGAGGAGGAGGCCGCGGCGAGCGCCCCCCCGGGCCGGAGGCGGGGGCGACTGCCCCCCGCCGCGGGCGCGGGAGGCCGCAGGAGGGCACCTGCTGCACCGCCGCCGCGCCTGCCAGGGGCGCACCTTCGGTGGCAGCTCGCGGGAGCCTCCCAAGGATGACTACCTACCAAACCACCCCAACCCAACCCGAAGACCAGAATTTGACCCGAATTTCGGGTTGGGGGGGGTACGGGTTCCATGTGTTTTTTCGACGTTCCCCGACCCCCCCCACACTGGAAATGGAGGGCAAATTGAGGCCTTCGGGTTGGGTTGGGGTGGTCTGGTAGGTGGTGAAAGGAGGCTCCCGATGAGCCGACTTCGTTCGGACATCGAGAATGCGTGTCCCATGCATTGTGTGCGTTCTCGTCCTTGCGCTTCTCACGAGCCTCTCGGGCCGCAAGACGGCTCCAGGGTCGCCAGGGACAGTCACGAGAGAGGCCCAGAAAGGGCCGGCCCCCAGACGGCCCCGAAAGCTCCTCCTCCTGCTCCTCTCGGGGGCGCGCAAACATGGATTAGCTATCCATGGATTTGGCGCGCGGTGGCCTAATCCACGGATCGGGGGAGGTGCCCTCCCCAGAATGCGGCCGGTGCCGCCTCGTTCGGCGACGGAAGTCTGCGATTTCCCATAGAAGCGGGACCCGTCGCTAATCCACGCCCCCTTGATCCATGTTTGCGATCGCCTGATCATGGGAGCCTCCCATACAATCTTGTCTTAGGTCGGGCGTGTCCTCCTACAGGCAGATTTGGGACGAGAACAATGAAACATACCCCGGGGGGGAAAAAACAAAACAAAAAATTATCCCAGCAAAGCAACCTAACAGCGATGTGTAGAAGCATATCTGAAAGCATTCCCCTTAAGATTCAGATGAAAATCCAGTTGTAGAATTCTGCTGTTCTCGCAGTCGTAGTCGCATTCGCGATGACAGTCGCAGCGGCAACAGTCGCAGTCAGCCTCAGCCTCAGCCTCAGCCTCAGCCTCAGCCTCAGCCTCAGCTCAGCATCAGCAGCTCAGTCTGCCTTCAGCCTCGGCCTCAGCCTCAGCCTGCCTCAGCCTCAGCCTGCATCAGCCTCAGCCTCAGCCTCAGCCTGCCTCAGCATCAGCCTGCCTCAGCCTCAGCCTCAGCCTGCCTCAGCCTCAGCCTCAGCCTGCTTCAGCCTCAGCCTCAGTCTGCCTTCAGCCTCGGTCAGCCTCAGCCTGCCTCAGCCTCAGCCTGCATCAGCCTCAGCCTCAGCCTCAGCCTGCCTCAGCCTCAGCCTGCCTCAGCCTCAGCATCAGCCTGCCTCAGCATTCAAAATGTGGCCCAGGAATGGAGTTCTGGGAACTAGAAGAACACGAAGTGGCCTACAGTTGGCTCCGGGCATTCAAAATCATGCCCAGGAATGGAGTTCTGGGAACTTGAAGAGCACGAAGTGGCCTACAGTTGGCTCCGGGCATCCAAAATGTGGCCCGGGAATGGAGTTCTGGGAAATCGAAGAGCACGAAGTGGCCTACAGTTGGCTCCGGGCATCCAAAATGTGGCCCGGGAATGGAGTTCTGGGAAGTCGAAGAGCACGAAGTGGCCTACAGTTGGCTCCGGGCATCAAAATGTGGCCCGGGAATGGAGTTCTGGGAAGTCGAAGAGCACGAAGTGGCCTACAGTTGGCTCCAGGCATTCAGAATGTGGCCCGGGAAAGGAGTTCTGGGAGGTCGAAGAGCACGAAGTGTGTGACTGTTTGCGAAAAGCGCATTCGGACACGAGTTCGGACACAGCTCCCCGGCAGCCGCCCCGACCCCCCTGTGGAGTCATCTGCTGCTCTCTTTTGAGACCACTAGAAACCTATCAGCAAAAGCTGTTAGGTAAAAAAACGGTCAAAAAAAGGCCAAACATCGGCCCCACACTATTTGTGGACTATTTTTGAACATTCCCACTCTAGAGGGACATGCCCGACTTAAAAGAATCGTGTCGGCTCTTGCGAATCGACGCTCGTCGACGTTAACTCGACGCGCATCGACGCTACATCGACGCTCCTCGACGCTGCATCGGCGCTGGCTCAGCCCCTCCCAGACGCTGCTCGACGCCAATCGACAGTCGACGCTGAAGACGGGATTCAGTCGGTACACTGGGCTCCCAGGCTTTGCTTCCGAAGCACACGGTGGCTCTGGCCAGGCACGGTGGCGGTGTGCAGCCATCGCGCTGGGACGAGGAGCGGAGGGGCCTCTCTCCAGCCATCCGCGGGCCCTCGGCCACGAGGGCGGGCTCCCCGACGCCCAGCCCCAGGAAGCTGCCCCAGAAGCCGGGAGCCCCTCCTGAGCAGGAAGTGGTCACGGTCGGCCCTTGGCATACACTCGACCAGGATAGCAAGGACGCGCGGTAAGGATGCAAGGGCCTTGGAAGGCCCTTTCGAAGCTTTTCGAGCGGGGCGCGCCGGCAAAAGTGGCCAAGGATGTGCCGAGGAGGCAAGGATGCAAGGGTACCCTTGGGAAGGTTGCCCATGCTTGCCATGCGGGTTGACTGCACGGCGAGGGCACTGGATCAGAAAGCATTGGATGGGGAATCCAAGATCTGGAAGACGGTCGAATTCAAATCGAGGCTTGACCATGGATGTCATCGCCGCCCTCCTCAGGCAAGGCATCCCCCAGAGTCCAAAGCCTCCTGGGCACACTCCTTAACGCCGTGCTGGACGAACTCCGAACCATCAAGTTAGCTGAATCGTTGATCGGCCAGGGCGAGGTGGACAAGAGCAAATCCGGTCAAATCGGTCCTGGACCCCTCCAGGGGTCCATCTCGTGCAATTTTCAACCCAAGATTCATGTTTGACGGTCTCCTGGCCCAAAAGCGGCACCGGGAGACAGAACATTTCCAAAAACCTGTTCATTGACTGCGTCTTGCTCGCACTACCCGCGCCGCCCATCCTGTTGCCTGCATCGTTGATCGGCGAGGGTAGGGCTCGGACTTCGCCGATGATAATCCCAGCGCCTCGACCTGACCGCACATGCGGGGACAGCAAGCGACCACATGGAGGACACACTCTGGGGGATGTCTTGCGTATGCCGAAAGTGGTCGGAACACGGAAACCAGCTCCGTACTGGCTGTAGCCGAAGTGGAGTCCCAAGACGGCCACAACAGCCAAAGTGACCGTGTCGAGATCGGTGGCTTCTGCCGCAGGGAGCCCTCCAGAAAAAATCCACTACAGTCGACCCGAATAGCAAGGATGGGCGACCTTCCCAAGGGTACCCTTGCATCCTTGCCTCCTCGGCCCACCCTTGGCCGCTTTCGTTGGCCGCGCCCCGCTCGAATGGCTTCGACATGGGCGTCCAAGGCCCTTGCATCCTTGTCGAGCATCCTTACCATACTGGTTGCCTCTACGCTGTGGTTGTGTCTCTCCGTTGGGCCCGGAGCAAGGCAGACAAGGCACCGGCCGCCGCGTGGGCCTCCCCCTGGGCGCCCTGAGTCGCGCTCCGGGCCGCGACCGAAGCGGAGGCACCGTCGCCTCTGGGGGCCAACATACATCCATATATATATATATATACACCTATATATACACACATAAATACACGTCCATATCTCGATCTATGTATAGTTGTACACATATATCTATATAATGTGTATTCATATATACATACGTACGCATTCATATCCATATCCATATCCATATCCATATCCATATCCATATCCATGTCCATATCCATATCCACCGCCCGTGGAAGTCCGCGGACATGGATCCCCTTGGCGGCGGCCATGTAGAAAACCCCCGCCTCGAGAGCTGAACACCCTGAACCCAAAAACCTTGCCATATCTTGGGAGACCGATCTTTACTTTCGCCGCCTTCCGCAGGCTTCTGCCCGCGGAGGCGACCTTGATCGAAGACGCATTGAACCGGGTCAATGCAACCCCGGGATAGTCAGACTCTGCAGGACCCTGCAGGATCCTGCAAATTCCTGCAGGATCATGCGCGCTAGCCCGGGTCAGTGCGCCCCTGGCTCTGCAGAATCCTGCAAGATCCAGCGTTCTGGCTGACCCCCGTTTGCATCGACCCCCGCCTCTTACAGCTCGACTTGTTTGACTTCCGCCGCTTTCCGCTGGCCTTTCGCCGCCTTCCGCTGGCCGCCGCCTTCCGCCGAGGAAGAGGTGGTAGCTCCTTCGGCCGTCGAAAGCGATGCCCCTTTCTGGAACGCCTCAGCTGTCCGACCCAGGCCGCAGCACAGCATGAGGCAAGCCTCTCGTCGCGTCCCTGCGGCGGACCTGGGGGCTCCCGCGCGGCCACCCTGGGACGGTGAGGGCACTGGATAAGTCAGCGGCGAGCGAGGGGGGTAGTGAGAACGAGGAGAGCTTCTGAGAAGGCGATAAGGGTTCTAGGATCCAGAAGCCGCTGGAAGTCCAATCGTGGGGTGGCCATGGAAATCACCGCCGCCCTCTTCAGAGAAGGGGTACCCAAGGTTTCAAGCCTGCACACTCCTTGACGAACGCCCCCACCGTGCCCAAACCCCGTCGTCCTGGACAGCGGGACTTGCGACCTCTTCCGGCTTCAGGACGCACGGAACGATTCAGGACGTCGGCGGTGTGGGCCTCGCATCCTCAGACCACACCGCTCATTCATGAACCTACCGCCCCACAATCCAAGGAGGGGCCTGCATACAATCTTAAATGAGCTGTGAGCAGCGCCTCCGGTCCAACCGCAGGCACCGCCCACAAAAACTGACTGAGCAAATTCTGCGTCGTGCCAGCTATCCGAATCTGCGCGCAGCACCCAATGAGTGTTGCGCTGCGCTGCCTTGTCATACCAAGCCAACATGCGTCGCTGGCGCCACGGTGCCGAAAATTTCGCCGCAGCCGAGCCGCACATATACAACACTGCCATGCCCTGGCTCGCCCGAGCAGACAATGAGCGCGCAATGCAGAGTTGCTGTTCCACTGACTCGCGCCTGGGGGGGGAGAGGGGCAGAACTTGGCGACGCGCAAAGGGGAGTGGGACGAGGGGGGTGGTCGTCCAAAAAGGCGAAGGAGCTTATCATCGGGCATCGAAACCAAATTACACAAATTCGTCGAACGCGCGAGGGTTTCCTAAGACCACCTTGCTTCCTTGAAGGCCGCCCTCCCTCGAGCCACCCTTGGCGCCCCGCCACTGAGGGCAGGGGATGATAGTACTACGAACAAAAAGGACCATAAACATTACGCGGCGCGTGAAAAAATGTCCACCGCAAGATTTCGACGAAATGGAGCCCAAGACACCCTCGGGGTGCCGAGATGTGACCTGTCCCGGAAGCCACGCAACCGCGCGCGGAGTCATCCTCTTGGAAGCAATTTTTCCTTCAGCCGGCTTCCCCGCTGGCCCCCTTCTTTTCTCACGGCCCCCCTAACACACGGAAGCGATTAACCCCCTTCCTGGTGTCACCGGTAGCACCGAACCGAAAATGAACAATTCGCGGGGGCGGACTTAGCTGAGCGATATCTATAGCGTCGCAGCAAGCCGCAACGCATGAATAAGTACCCCCCGCCCCCGCGACCGACGTCTGTAGCGAATGTCGACGGCGGGCGCGCAAGAGCCTCGAACGTCGAAGGTGCGAGATATTATGATGACAATTAGGATTAACTACACCAGTGGCGCTGAACTTCTGCGGATCTGGCCCCACTGAAAGCGCGCTAGGAACTGCCTGAGAGCGCTCTTGAAAAATCGCCGAACTTTAATGACGTGCCCATTTAGACGCGGCAGAACGAGCTGAGCCAGCGAGCTGGCCTCGCCGCTCAACGCGCGCGCGATCTGGCGCCGCCGCTCTTGCGCCGCCGTTTCCAACGCGCGCTGACTCATGCCGCGGCCGTCTCGGCCCGGCATGCTCGGGCGCGCTGCTCCTGTGGACAACGGCCCCTGATAGTCGTCGTGCCCCTTCGCCGCCTGGGCGCCCTTGTCGAGGTCACTGTCCACCCTGGCCCGGTTCACCTCGCGCCCCCTAGGCGTCGGGCCAGGCAGTCTTGAGCGGAATCTCAGTCCTGGGCGCCACGAGGCGCTGAATTGCGAAGTGGCCACGGGGCGCTGAGGGGCGCCGGGCCCCCCTGAATGCCCGGCGGGCCTTGCGCAGACCCGACGCGCACGGGCGCTGAGCCAGGCGTCTGAGGACGCAGGCCCTCGCGTTCTTTCTGGGGCCTGAGACGCTGGGACGGAGAGCGAGACCTATCTGGCATTGCTCTGACCACCGAAGCCTGGCGCGGAGCAAGAGCCAGCGCGGCGTTGGACAGGGCCCCGAGAAACCGCGAGACACTCCAAGAAAGCTAAGGATTCCGAAGAGATCCGAGACATCCCGAGAACCCCGAATAATCCGCAGACATCCCGAAAAATCCAGCACCCCGAGGGCCCCGAGAAATCCAAATGATCCCGAGACTTTCCGGGGGCGGGGGAGAGAAGAAAGAGAAATCATATATTTAATATATATATATATATATATACTAAAATATATTTGCCGGGGGAAAAAACGCGCGCGGAAACCCGCGGGGGCCGCATATACCCCAGAGCCAAAATAACCAAACTAAATCAACACATAATTCCAAGACGCCCCGGGGAATCTAAAGAACACCAGCGCTCCAGAGACATCCAGAGAAAGACGCGCAAACGCAAACCCCAGAGGAACCCGATAATCCCAGGAGCATAAAAAATACATGAATCCAAAGAAGCCCCGCAAGAGTCTCAAACAATCCGGCGAAAACCCGGGGGCCCCAAGAGTCCCAAGAGGCGCGCTGCACTGCACTGCGCCCCTCCTCTTCGGGACGCGCCGCTCTCTGTCTGGGCCGCGCGGCCTGGGCCAGCGCGCGCGGCGGCGCCGACCATGACATATCGCTGCGCTTGCTGGCGGGCGCGGGCCCTGCGCGCCGAGCACCGGGTTTGCCCCGACCCCTGAGCAGGCGGCCTCGCGACGCGCGAGCCCTGAACGCCCGCGCGCTGAAGTGGCCCCGACTGGCCAGCGGCGATCATGACATTCCGCGACCGAGCCCCTCCTCTCCCAGACCCCCTTTCCGCCACTGACCCCCCGCTGCGCTGACCCCCTGCCACGCCTGCCCCCCCTCCGAGGACCCATGGGGAACCCGTGGAAATCCATCGCCCCCCCCGCCCCCCACGGGCCCCCAGGCTTTCGCCCGGCACGCGCCCCTGAGCGAACGAGCGCGCCCGCTTGCGCGCGCCCCCGAGCGCGCCCATCGCGCGCTTCCTCCACCGCGTTGGAGGCCTTCCGCGCTCGAGGCAGCGCCTGCGCGCGGGCGGGTAACCGCGGGCGACGCAGCCTGAGACCCGCTCGCACTTGGCGCGCATCTGCGATGTTTGAACCATCTGCAAGCGCTCAACGCAGGCCTCGCAATCAGCCCGGAGGACTGGCTCCGCGAGGCTGCGCAAGCACGCGTCAACGCCTTGATGGCCCTTTCCCTTCAGACCTGAAGCCCAGAGCTCCTCGAACGCCGGCTCCAGGGCATCCCCGGCGGGCCGCCGCGACATGCTTGACCTCGTTCTCAGGGGCGCCCTTCACCTGAGCCACCGCCCGCGCGCCGGTCGCCCTGCGCGCGCCTCCTTGCCCCTTGCCCTCGGCTGCCTCACTTTCGCGGGCCTCCACGACTGCCTCGCTGGCCTGCTTCTGCAGTTCGACCTCGGCAGCCGCCTCCTCCCGGGCCTCGCCCTCGGCTGCCTTCGAAAGCGAGCGCGGCAGCGAGCGCGGCTTCGCGCTGCCCTTCTGAATCCTCGCCTCGAGAGAACGAGAACGACCTCGGCATCCCAAATGTTCGCAAGCGTGGCCTTGACCGCCTGCCTCATTTCCACGCATTCCTCCCGCCTCTGGCTCCTCCTGGCATTCTTTGGACCCTCAGGAACCACATCTGGCAGCCTCTAGCACCGTGCTTCATGCTCATGTCAATCGCCGGTGTCCAATATATATATATATATATATATATATATATATATATATGCCTAAGCAAAAAGATCGCGACCGACTGCGCAAGCGATCCGTCAGACAGCGCCAGCGATCCTTCAGCTGAAGGATCGCTCGCGCTGTCTGAAGCGCCTGTCACTCCGTGGCTGCTTCCTCGAGCCAGGCGGCGCGAGACTGTTCCCGCTGCCTCGCTGCGCCCCAGCACTTCACGCCGATGGCCCTCTTCCTGTCCTCAGGAGCACTGGGGCACCGCCATCGCTTGACGAGCGCCTGCCCTCCAACTCTATGTAGCGCATGACCCAGCAGCCGCAATTTGATCTTTCCTGCCTGAAGACGCGGCCCTTCCCCAGCGCCGCAGCAAGCGCCTGCGCGCTGAAATCTGGCGGGGGTATCTTCAGGATCTGCAACACCATTTCCTTGCACGCGACATTGAACCCATTCGCGGCCTCGCAGTGCCAGTCGCGCGACTGGGAATCACCCCCCGACTCAACAACCAGGAGAGCCCAATGGCCTGACGCATGGCCTTCACCGGAAGGTACTGACTGGGAAAGAAAAACGGTTGCGCATCGCTTGAAAAACTTGCTGAAATCGTTCCCGAACGCGCCAACGCCATCCCGGTTAATTTCCGCATGTAGCTTAACATGCGCGCAAGCTGTCCGGGGGCCAACTGATAAAGTTCAACCGAAGGAGAGCGTGCTCAAACAGAACTGCCCGCAAGTGGCCCGCAACTCCCGTAAGAGGCCTGCAACTTTCACTTCAATTGGCTCGGACGAGTCTGGGCTGACCGTGCCGAGACGTCCCGACATCGCTGGTTTAAACATATTGCTGACGTGCTCCAACGTCATGAGTGGCTTCGGTGCCTGAGCACTCTTGGTCATTTCAGCCACGACGCTGATGGGCACGCGCCTAGTGGTCAGCTCATCGTCCATGCTGCTGATCTCCTGAATATCCTGATGTGCGTAGATGCGCGTGCCCACTCTGCCGAAATGTGCATCGCCGCTGACGTAGTCGCGATCGCCATATGCTGAATCGCCATGGCTGAGCTGCCACAAAGACAACGATTGCCCTGAGCGCGGCTGAACTGACCCGGATGGGTGAGAATCCTGGAACGGTCGCCTGAACGATGGTCGCTTGAGCCGCAACTCGTTGCGGACGTGCTGCTGCGTTGCGCTGCACAGTCAACCCGTGTAATAAAGACGCACGGTAAAGATGCAAGTTCGCGCGCGCGGGGCGGCCCCTGGGGGCCCCCAGACGAAAAGTACCCCGACCAGGTCCCGGCCGGTCCCCGGCCGGGTCCCCCCGAGCGCTCCACGAGCGCACCAACAGGGCTCCGAAAACGTCCCCGAGGACCCAAACAAAACCAAGAGGCCCGCAAGAGGTCCCCAAGATGGTACACGAGGCGTCCGAGATGCCACAAGATCGCTCCAAGACGCCCAAGATGGCCCCCAGACGCTCCAAGAGGTCTCCAAGCGTACTCCCAAGAGGGCCCCAAGAGGCAAAATTCATTGCTTTTCCTTAGGTTTTGGACATATTTTGGCTTTTCCCCCTTTTCCGCTTCCCGAAGCCCCAAGACAGCCCAACACGACTCCAAGATCGCCCCAAGAGGGCTTAAGAGGCCCCCAAGAGAGCCCCAAGACGGCCCAAGAGGGCTCCAAGACGGCCCAAGAGGTCTCCAAGACGGCCCAAGAGGGCCCCAAGAACGCCCCCAAAGGGGCCCAGAGAGGGAACACGAAACAACATTTCGAGCCCTCGGCCCTAAGAAGCCCCTACGAGGCCCCAAGAGGCCCCTATGAGGCCCCAAGAGGCCCCCACGAGGCCCTCAGGAGGCCCCCAAGAGTCCCCCAAGCGGCCCCAGGAGGCCCCCCAAATGCCCCCCCGAGCGCCCCAGGAGTCCCCCAAGCGGCCCCAGGAACCCCCAAAGCGCCGCATTGACACCAGGCCCTCGGGCAAACGGCAGACATGAGACTGCATGGGCCGGCGGAATGAGCGAAGCGATCCGCCGCCCCACCGGGAACGGCGTGTGGGATCCCCGCCGCATGGTCTGCACGATTTCT